TTCAGGTCGTTTTTGCAATACCGTTCATCTATAGTAGGGATTTCAATACCGGCCCAAAATTTCAATCGCGGGATTACAGTATTGGAAATTGTTGATCCCGGGATCCCGGGTTTAGATTCGGTTCAGAATCTGGTGTAAAATCGAGTTTAACACGTTCAAAATAGGAGCTTTCAATTTTTAATTAGGTGGGCAAATCGACGAAACAAAAAATTTTTTTTAACAAAATTTTACAATTTAATGTAATTATCAGAGATCGAAGCCGATTTTTTCGGCTTAACTCAATTTTTGATTTTTTTGATAGAAAAGAGCCATTTAACTACCATTTTAAATATTTAAATTGAACTTTACATGCTTTACTATGATTCTGTGAAATATTTTTTCAGCATGTAGCTATAGTGAGCTCAGAATTTCAAGTTAAAGAATGTTAAGCCGAAATTTAAGCCGATCGGCTTAAAATCGGCTAAATTGAAATTCTGAGCTCACTATAGCTACATGCTGACAAAATATTACACAGAATCATAGTAAAGCATGTAAAGTTCAATTTAAATACTTGAAATGTGTGTTAAATTGCTTTTTTCTATCAAAAAAATCAAAAATTGAGTTAAGCCGAAAAAATCGGCTTCGATCTCTGGTAATTATTTCTCTCTTATGTCACATTATTCAAAAATATTTAATGTTCTAATAAATGCAATGATGTGAATAGAAAAATTATCTCAAAATATATAAGTTTTTAAGCGACATTGATCAACAAGATCTGTTCCTTTCATGTTGTAGCATTAGATAATTTAGCAAAATGTAGATGCTTAGTGGAAATTTGCTGATAAATTAATTAATTTCTTGAAAATTTTCTTCCTAAGTCACACAAAACGCTTTGCAACAAAAATATACTAGTTCAAATTTTTCATAACCGTTAAAATATTTGAATTACAAATTTCCGTTAAATTTTGTTGACATTTTCGAGCTCAAATCTTAGGGTTCGTTCACTTATTACGTAACGCACTAGGGGGGAGGGGGGGTCTAAGATTTTGTTACGGTTTGTTACAGGGGGAGGGGGGGGGTCTAAATTTTGTTACGTAACTTTCCTTCTATTTACTTTTACATACTTAAAGGAAGTATAATAAACATTTGATAAACAATTTAAATGAAAAAAATTATTGTTACGTTATGGGGGAGGGGGGGGGGGGTCTAAGATTTTGTTACGTTTTGTTACAGGGGGGGGGGGGGGAGGGGGGGTCTAAAAACTCGTTTTTTGCGTTACGTAATAAGTGAACGAGCCCTTATTCAATTTCTATTTTTTCAAAAAAACTTTAAGCAAGTAGAGCAATAATTACAATGCGATTTTTTGTAATTCCACAGCTTCGTGGATTTGCTCAGGTGTATTTATCATTAAAAAATTTTTAAGTTGAAAACTAAGCCAGAAAGTTAAAGTTTTTCCAAATAAATCAATATCTTCTTTTCTTGTCTTGTCTGAACTTTTTAACTTTACAATGAAAGCTTTTGTTAATTTTTATAAAGTTATCTAAAAATGATTTAAAATTTTCAGTACAAATATGATTTTTTTTTGACAAGCTATTATGACTTTCCTTTTGTAAAAACTTTTAAAACTTTTGTTTTATAAAAAATCAATAAATATAAATTTTAATTCAAATAATAGATTTTATCACAGCTTTATTAGGGAAACATTCGAATGATCATAAAAAAGAAAAAATTCTAAGAATATCTTGATCCCGTAATTCTGGGATTGAAGCTTTTCTAATCCCGGGATTGCGGTATTAGAAAATCGGTCCGGACCCCGGGAAAATCCCTATTCTATAGATATGCCCTATAATTGAATTAAACGAATTGAAATTTCAGAGAAGATTTATTAAGTCAATTAACTAATTGCACAGCAAGTTAGTGCAGATTTCTTTGTATAAATGCAGCAATAAATGTAAAAAATCTTGGATCTTGGAAGGTAATAAATTTATTTCTAAAAGCATGTCGAGTGGTGAGAAAAAATAATCAAGTGATGATTACACCATAATGAAGAGGAATTATGGAGAAGTTTGGTTCTTCAATTGAAAATAAAACGTTTTGGTAAATTTGGAGAAATAGGAAAACTATAATTTGACTTAAAGGAGTTTTGATTTTAGTTAAAATCTCTTATTCAAGAAAATTAAACTACATTTTTTTAATTTTTCAGCTCAGTTCTTTTTTTTGTTTTCTCATATTCACACAAATTATTTTCTTTCTCTTTGATAACACTCGAAAAAAAATGGAAATTTATTAACTTTTTGAACAGAAACAAGTACTCCGACATGCAGTTGTGATGAACCATTAACAGTGAAGCACATTTTCGACTGTAACCCTAACAAACAATTACAGGACAAACATAAAATTGACTTCGACATATTTAAATCTGACAACAATCAAAAACTCTTAAATGTAATAGCGTATTTAAATGAATTAAGTATTTACGAAAAAATTTAACCTCACTAGCTATGGGGCTGTTCACTTATTACGTAACGCGAAAAAATGACTTTTTAGACCCCCCCCCCCCCCCCCCCCATCGTAACAAAATTTGTATGAAAAAAAAATTTCCTTGTTTGAACCGTAACAAAATCTTAGACCCCCTCCCCCCCTAAAAGCGTTACGTAATAAGTGAATGGCCCCTATGTTACGACTAAAATTTCTAGAAAAGAAAACTTGTAAATAATAAAATGAAAAATTAAAGGTTTTTTATGCAGTTTGAAATAGTACTAAACTTTAGGTACTTTTCAAACTGCTTTTTTCCTTTTATACGTAAGAAAACAAGAGAAAAGTAAAGGCCCTTTAATTATTAATACGGACCATAATAAAAATAATAATAATAACACTCGAAAAAATAATCAGTTGATACATATTACAATTTTTTCATAAGTTGAGCTTGTGGATACATTAGATATCAACTGTTTAGAGAGGATATAAAAGTCACCACAAACATAACGCACATTGAACATTGAAATAGCTTTTATAATAATTTAATTTCTTGAGCAAAAGAATATGCATATGAGTACAAATACAAATAACATTCATGATCGTATTCATGTACACTTTTACTTGTGCTTAATTAAAATCAAGAGATCTGACTTTTTTATGAGAGATGCATTTCTGCACTTAAGTAATAAGTTTGTATAGTATTAAATTCATAAAAATCGCATTTGTATCTCCAGATACACAGAAATAAGCAACTTATATCATCATCATCATCTTCATTGGCGTTGTTTTACGGCAGTTGTGAATTAAAGGAGATGAATGAATAAAAACTTAAAGTCTGCAACGGTAAATGAAGTAAGTAAATGAAAATGCAATTTGTATTGTTCCTTGAATTTAGAATCGACAAAACTCTTTAGTAAATTTTTCTTGTTAAAAAATTTTCGAGTCAATTTTGTCCTTGCCAATATGCCTCTTACTCCTCCACTTGGATAAAATGCACGAAATTCAACATCCTTAAAATGCTCTTAATAAGAGATTGAAGCCGATTTGGTCGGGCTAAATTAAATTATTATTTTGGTAGCATAAAAGTCATTTAACATTCGTTCCAAGTGTTATAACTGAACTCTACATACAACACTCGGATTTGTCATATTTTAGCTAATAGCAATAATGAGCTTTGAATTTTACATTTTCTTATGCTAAGCCGATCTTCTCCGAATACAGAATCCTAGTATTGTTCGTAAAGTTCAGTTGTAGCACTTGAAATGGATGTTAAATGTCTTTTTACTATTAAAAAAATCAAACGATTGATTTAAGCGGAACAAATCGGCTTCGATCTAAAATTTATTAAATATCCAGAAAAATTTTTTATTTAAAATCAATATCCCGCATTCGTTTGCACCGCGTGTAAGACATGAATATTTGTATTAATTTTTAATGACTTTCCTTTCCAAATAATTAAGTTAAGTATAAACTTAATAAATAACTTAATAAATTTAATGCCTTAATCACTTTAAAGGAATAAATTTTTTTTTTATATTTTAAAATAGTATAATAATTTTTTTTATGAACCATTGGCTGGGTGCTAAAGGAAACGAATAATAAACGAGGAATGTAAAGAAAAAATATCTTGATATAAGCATGTGTTTCTCATTTGTATAGAAGATGGCGAGCCGAAAATTGAAAAAAGAAAAACTGACAAAGGAAAAAAAAATTTATAATTAATTCACATGATTTGTCGAATGGAACGTCAAAATAGAAGAAATGTAAATTGATGTAGGGTAAAAGATATCGTACTGAAATTGGTGCGATTTAAAATTTAATATTTTTCACATCTGAATTCTGAAGAAGTACTGCTATATAAACAAGTGCATAAATTAAACTGAAAATTCGTTATATTTCTGAAAGTCGTAAGTAATAATAAATGCATCAGATTAGCCGACAGCAGGCGCCTAGCCCCCCCCCCCTTAAACGTTTTGAACCGCAGCGAGAGCACTGCATACAATTAGATAATGAGATTCATAATGAGATTCACGTGACCTTGCGTTCATATATACAAAAAGCTTTATTATCAGTGTGTTTTCTTATGAAACGTATATAAATGACATAACGCAATCGTTATTTTTTCTCTATGAACAGAATTAAATGAAATGAAAATCGCATTTTTGAAACTTGTTTCTGCTTAATAATACACTTAATCGGTCGGGACAAACTGAGATTTCGATAACCAGAAAAATCTTTCAGATAAAAATCAGAAAAAATAACAGATTTTTTTTATTTTCACTTGTTGGAGAGTTATTTAGATTTGACAAGAAAATTGAATAATTATTACTTCTTAGAGATAAACAAGTGCTAAAAGGAAAGAGAAATTTCAGGTCCACACTATCATAAACCAAAATTAGAATTTCCACACTTTCCAAATAAAGTTTGAGATTTTTGCAAAACGAAACTAAAGTCGATAATCACTTTTGTGACACAGGCCGATTATGATAGTTTCTGAATAATACACTTTAAATAAATGCAATAAATTAAAGCAAAACAAAACTTTATCTTGGATTAAGGAAGAAGCATGAATACTGTAAGAAAAGATTGAAAACTAATTAATGAGTTTGCCATTATTTAGGTTGCAGTTAAATTGAATGATAGGCGCTACAGGCAAACACACCCTAGCGAGACTAACTAGCAAATTGCTAGTCTTTCTATTCTCCTACTTGCAATTTACTAGTAATTATTAAAACAACTTACTATTAGTAAATTACACTTGCTATTTAATAGCAAATTACCATGTGAAATGTTTGATCAAATCTGTTTAAGTTCGAATCCTAAGAAAAATCATCAAAAAAAGAATTTTTTTGCGTCATAAAAAATTTTGTTCTAAATTTGGCATTTGCCATATACTTCACAAGAGCGCGCAGAAATCACCTTTATAACCTCGATCCAAATTTGTATGGGACTTTCAATTAATTATTTATCTTCCTCAGGTTTGCGTGCGAGTTATAGGCGTTCATCAGTGTTCGACTTAATTAAATTAAGTCCTTTATTTTTTTCATAGTGTTAGTGTACTTTAATTAAGTACACACTAATACTTTTAAAATAACTTACACAAATAAGAAAAATCAAAAGAACACGTGGAAATCAACGGTTATATTCATTTAAATTTTTTACAAATTTGCTACTAAATTACTAGTTAAATTGTAAGCGAATTGACTAATCAATTAACAAGCGAAAATGCGGGTCTTTGGCGAAGATTTGAACTTGGATTTTGACTAGTAAATAGCAAGTAGCAAATCGAAAGTTATCCAGTAAATTACTAGGAAATTACTAGTAAATTTCTGCTAGGTAAAACTTGCAAATATTTTTTCCTTTCATATTTATTTCATTACATTTTTGTACAGGTGAGAGATAAATAGCTTTTCAAAATATGTGAAGCATTTTTTGCCCCTTTCATGATATTACTATATGTTCATTTTGATTAGCTCGCGATTAAAATATAATGATCACTTTCAAGCCTTCAATCTGATTGTTCACTTTTTCACACCAGACAGTAGCAAATGAGTAAAAATTTTGTTCATATAACTGTTGGTAGATAAGGAGTAGACGAGTGGAATGCATCTTATTCACGTATATTATAAACATACATTTTTTATTGCAAGCAGACTAACGTCTGGAAGAAGTCAATTAACTTGAATTAAATAAAAAGAAAAGAAGAGTATGGAACCAAAACTATATGATGGAAAAATATTTGGACGGATTTAGACTTGTCTACACATTTCCGTGAATTTAGTTTTAACGGCGACTCATTGTTTTTGCTAGACACTTTTTTAACGAACGACATCAAAAAAGTTTTTATACAACTGGGCCCCGACGAAAAAAAATTATTCGTGAGACGCTATGGTTTGTCGATTTTCTCCGAATCCTTAATAGTGACAATTGTGAAAAATATTTTTAAAAAAAGGAAAAAAAATCCTGGTCTTTTGATATGCAACTCACTTTATAAAGTTGTATAAAAAGTTTACAAAATTTGAGTGTAAAAAATTTTTTGAATTTTTCTGTCGTGAGTTGTTTGTTTACAATAATGGTAAAACGATTAGGATTACGATTAAATGATTTTAATCAAAGTTATCGAAATTATTTTAATCGGAATGTAATCGTAATCGAAATATATTATTTCGATCATATCGAAATAAGAACAATGGATTTCCAGGAATTTCTATTGTTCTTTGCTCGCTGTTAAAGTTCAATTATTGGTTACAGCTGATGTTTTTGAAGCAGAAAAATAAATCGCAAAGATGATGATTTTCCATCCTACACAAAAGATTTTAGTCAATGAATATTTAAAAAGAAAAGAAAATACTAGTGGAAAATGATGGAATAGTAGAAAAGATGCATCTGGTTTAACTTCGAATTCAAAAAATCCCATACATTTGAAGCCAGATTAAACATGATAGATTTATCCGTTTAATTTTATTCTGTTCCTGTACTTTTTCGCTAAAATGCATTATTGCACGGCTTGAGAATTAATTTATTAGCATTTAACGTAGATAAAATGTTTAAGTTTTCATGTTTATAATTTTATCTCAAATTACAAATAAATTAAAAATTAATTTGATCAAAAAACCTATTAAAAGTACTTATAATCAATGTCAAGTAGCCATATGACGTTCATTTAAATTTTAATGGGCCTAGACGATTTTTTTAGGATTTTTGCTCAACGGAAAAATTAAATTTGAAATTCACTAACATTATCTTACAAAACATCAAAAAATTAAATTCTCAAATTTCTTAATTATTCAATCATTAATCTCAAATATTATGATTTGAATACAAAAATTAGATGACAAATTAGCTTCTCTGATTATTTTAAGAACTTTTTCATCATTAGGGCAATTCCATGAGTGAAAAAATGCAAGTAAAATTCTTTTTGATCAAAATACTCTTAAAATAACATCTTTTTCCTTTCTTTTAAAAATTTATAATTAGTAATAACTCAAGATATTCATTTTAAAATAGGTAGCTAAACGTTTAAAGGTCTATTTACTGAAATAATTCAGTTTTTTCATCGTTAATCGGTTAAGTTTACGAAAATTTCGCTTCTTATATCCTTGAAAAAGTCTACAAATAACCATTTTTTGTGCTCAAGTATATTTTTAAGCCATAAATATTCACTCTTTCTACTTATTTGTACACCTTTTCTGTTCTTAAATGCTTTATTCACAGAGAAAATTAAAAAATACTGCGTTAATCGGTTAAGTTTTCAGCGCTTTATCCAAAACCAACAAAAAACAGAAAATTTGAATTTTGAATTTCCATTAAATTTATTTATTGCTAAGAATAATTTCTCTTCGAAAAATAACATTTTATTGGGTTATTTGGGGTTAATAATGAATTTAATTTGTTTTTTTTTCATGTTAACATCATAATTTTGTGTAATAATCGTAATAATAATCAAGGCAATGAAAATTTGTTTGAATCTTTTGAAAATTTGTAACGGTAAAAAAAATTCAAATTACTACAAGTAGAAAAATATTACAACTTTCTTTTTCTCAGTTCCCTTTACTCGTGGAATTGCCCATTATTGAGTGATATTTTCGTGACTTTTCAAATTTTATTTCCAATTTTGTTTGTAAACAAACAAAATGCAACCGAAAATATTCAAAAAATTTAAAACCGTTAAAATTTTTTTAACTTAATTATGTTCATTTAAGTATGTTTTCACTACAATTTATAAAGTTTTTTGAAGCTTAACACAAGAGAATAAAATTTCTGATCTAAAAAAATACATTTGAAGATATATCAATGAAAGCTGACAAAGTTATAGCAAAATTCCCAAAAATTATTCGTGAGTGACGCTTAATTAAAGTGATTTTCCGACAAAACTGCTTAACTTTAGGAAGTGAGTTGTATGTCAAAAGATAGAAATTTTTGTTTCCTATAAGATAAAATAACTTTGAAATTTGTCACTATTGTGGTTTTGGAGATATTTTAGATTTAAAGCACCACTCACGAATAATTTTTTTTTGTCGGGACCCTAATATAAATATACATTAGGTAAATAACTAAAATTTGATATTTTGAGTCATTGGCACACAAGACTTCTAGATCTATGAATCTAGGATAATTTGTAATTCGATATTTTGTTTCATTCGAATTAATAGATAAACTTTTATTAAGTACTCACATCATCGTTAGCCTGAATAATGCATTTTTCCAAGTCTTCATGCCAAACGACTTCATCTTCAGTTTCGCGGTTTGGTGAACGGCTGACTAAGAGAACTACAATATTCTCTTCATCAGCATTGTTGACGTTGCCATGTTGAGTTGCAACATTGATAAATCTCTTCTCGATACTGATTTCAGCAGTCGAAGTTGTTGGACCAAATATTTCACTCATTTTATTTTTAATGAATTTATTTACCAATGAAAATAGTTTATAATTGTCCTTTAAATTCGATTTCTTTGCTACTCTCTGGAAAAAGATTAATACGTTATTATAAATTTTTGTTCTTGTGGACATTTTTTTCACAATTCAGATTTTTCAAGTGAAATCACTGGATATTTGTATTATTTTTATTATGACAGGAACTTACAATAACTTTTCCACAATTTCTGAATACAGACATTCAATAATTCAGCGTAATTCTTAAAGAAATTAATAAACTCCGAATTTATAAAACACCGCACGAATAAAATTGTAAACAAAGGGGAAGTATGAAATGTTTGACACAATGTTTTGACAAAACAATTTAAATGATTCTTGAAAGCTTTCTTTGATCATTTTTTACTCACATTTAAAACTTTATTGTAAAGATTAAATTATTTACAATTTCATAGATTTCTAGGTATATTAAATAAATTATGTTATATTATTTTCGCACATGTTTTCTCGCATGTGTTTGTTAATATTCATACTGAGCAACAAAGAGCAACGTTCAAATTTTAACCGTTGATAAATTTTTTTACAGCAAACGTTTCATTAGGTACGTAAATTCATTTAAAAAGATCGAAAACAATGAAAATTGCATTCACTTAAATTGAAAATTTGGTGTAAATATGATAAGCAAAAACATTAAACGAGTCTCATGAAAAAAATATTTTATTTTCCTTTTCGCCGAAATAAAGTGTATTGGGAAACCCCTTACTCTTATCTCATAATACTAATCTCTTTGATTTTTTATAAGATTCCACATCGCTCTGTATATGAAAGCATGTAGCACCGTCGTTAAAAAAGAATATGATAAAAAAATAACAATTTTAATAAATATGAAATGTCTAGAAGCAACGTATATACATGGCTCACATGGAATATTAAGCAATTTACAATAATAACATTTTGACATTTAAACTGATTTTTTTTAAGTTGCAATAAAGATAAGAAAATATCAAAATGTTTCTTTTTTTCAAAATAAAATAATCGAGATCCCTAACTTCATGAAAAATTGATGATGGATATCTTCTTTAGATGTGAAACAAACAGAACGAAAAAAGATATCACAAAAGGGTCACTCACTACGTCACGCAAAAAACGAATTTTTCAACCCCCCCTCCCCCCTCCCCTCCCTGTTATAAATTTTGTATGGAATATTTTCCTTTGTTTGAGCTGTTACAAAATCTTAAACCCCATCCTCTCCTAAAAAGCGAACATAATAAGTGTACAGCCCGAAAAATTTTTCTCCAAATTATCTTCTGCGATACGCTGAACAAAACGAAATTAAAGTTTAAATTTATCCAGATGAATGCGATAACAAAATGAAGGTGAATTTAACTTTTTTAATATTTCTTTTTATTGTAGAAAATTTGGGAAAAAAATAATTATCTCTCTTTTCCATATTGCTGAAATGATTTTATTTGTCGAAATGCTCTATTTTCGCAGTATGAACTTTAATCAAGATATATTAATTTCAGGATATCTGGGCCGAGTCAAAATCCGTTCAATGTTTTATGAAGAAATATATAATATTATTTTTGATAACAGTTCATTCACAAAATATGAACTTTGTTTCTTATCTAACACTATATATAATATTATAATAATATATTAATAAGCATACCTGCACATACCTATAGTGTGAATATATTTATTAAAAGATCTATCAACAGCATTGCTGTTTTATCAAATGCAGAATGATACATCCGCAATATCCAATTAAATCCTTTTGTTTCATTCATGGAGCAAAAGATTATTTTCTTTTTATAAACAACATGCCATTTTTGCTTTTCAATGAAAACTAGTTAAAATTGATCATTTTCGAAAGTCTAAGCGCAGTTGTTATAAATTTTGATTTTCAGAATTCACTCTAATTTTTAAGAAAATATGGACTTTTAATGTTCGACAAGCTAAGCTCGAGTCTGAAGCAAGATAAGTTAAAAAATGTCAAAAAATAACTCAAAATGTTTGAGATTAATTGTCATTAAAAATTCAAATCATTTGCCAATCCAAAGTGACTCTGCGACACTATGACAATACTAAAAATAAAACCTTGCAGCATATTTATTAAATTTTCAAAGATTGTCCTTAAAATGTACCCAAAAGTATGCAACTCATAAATTATTGTGGTGCTTGTACTGCATTGAACAGGTTAAAAAGAGCTTTACCTGCAAAATATGAATGTATCTATGCATCTTCACATATTCATTTACTGAACGGAATAAATAAAATCAAGAAGAGAGCAAAAAAAAATTTTCAATTTAATATTTATTTTTCAGGAAGGGAGATTTTTCATTAATTGCCTTCTTAAATTCATTTAATATAATCAAAACTTAATTTATATAAAAAGACTTTCAAATAAACAAATCATTTTTGTAAATATCTTAAACTTTATGGGAGGTGTGGTATTTCTAATTTTGGATTATAATAGAGTGAAGTATGTCTTAAATTTCTGTATACTTTAAACTTTTGTTTTTCGTTAAGAAGTATTAATTATTAAATTCTCTAGCCGAATCTAGTAGATTAACTTCGATTTTTGCTTTAATTCTCAAACTATTGAAGATATAAAAATTCTAAGTATATGTTAATATAAGTAGCAAAGTAATCTAACTTGATCACACATTAGATTTCTTAATAACCACCTTAAGCATCTGGAGATATTTCCAAAAAACTGAAGTGGATATTCGGAAATCAAGGATAATCCACCTTTGTGAAATTGGCCGAAAGTTCTTGATATGATGTGAATGTATTCAATTTTAAAGTCCATATCTTTTTGAAAACTCTCAGCAAGAATTTTCAGATTGTAAAATTTTTAAATAAAAATTTAATCAAAGTTTCAATTTTTTGATTGAAATTTAAAACGCTCTGCAGCTTTAACATTTGAGTATTGATTGGCAAAACTTACAGCAGCAAGCCTAAAACTCAAAGAAAACTCTTTCTCTTACATTACATTAAATTATTTCTAGAAAAGGTTTTCTTCACTAAAGTAGCTTTATAAAAAGTATTAGCTTTGTATAGATTCCAAAAAAACTTGGGTTCAAAAAAACTATATAAGCAAATTGAATGCCTCAAACCTTAAAAATTAAAAGCAAAAAATGTGTGCAAATTTATCAGTGGGCAAATTTATCAACGGGAAAATACATAAAGTCTTGTGTTCAAATAAACATACAGTTGATACCAATAAGTATAACATAATTGAATAAGAGTGCTTTATAGTCCTCGAAAAAGGAGCATATTTTCCAGTAAAGACGTGATGAGATTATTAAGCATACTTGAAGTCGTATGTAACATTAAAGAATGAAGAATGATAAATAAGGAGCAGAAATTGAGCATGCAGAGCCTAATGCAAAATTCATGATAAAATAAAAACTAAACTTTTTTAAACCACTGCTTTTTCCTTCATCCAACAATTTATTTGATTAACGATTCAAGGATTTTTTCATGACTTGTTTCATGAACAAGACTTTTTGAAAAACATGTTTCAATAATTTTTATGTTTATCATGTGGCTACTTTAAGGATCATAAATACTTTTAAAAAATTTACACGGAAAACCGTGAGTACAACTATTAAAAAGCAGTATCTATTTAAATCAATCAATTAATAAAATTTCAAATCATCATAGACTTTAAAATTTTCTCGTTTAGTGATTGATACTGAAGCATTCTAACTCACAATATGAGAATTTGGAAATATTTTCACCATGGTTATCAATAGTTACATTATAAACAATATGCCCCTTCTACTTATGTTAAATCACTAAGCCACTTCACTAAGCTTCAAAATGAGCAATCGATTTGTTTGTGATTTAACAATGTGGAAATAATTTGATTCTGTGTGTCAGAAACACATTGTTTTACTATGGTATACCTTATATATGAGCAAAATTGAACAGCATCAATAATAAAGTGATATTATTTGGTGATAAAAGGAAACAAATAGCCATTATTTCTTTAAAGCCGATTTAAAATTGCTGCAAAAATAATAAAATTTATTGAAAAGCAGTTGAGAGAGTTAAACACGAATAAACACTTACTTGGATAAAAATCCAACAATCAATCTCGTGGAAGAATTTATTTAGAAAAAATTACTGATGATGTGATATGCCTTTCATTTTTAGACTTAGGCAACTTGTAAATCAATCAATCTTTTTCCTTTCAACAAATTTCTTTACATTTTGTTGAATTTGCTTTCAAAAAATTGAAATATTAGAAACGTGAATATGTTTACCATAGATGAAGGTTTTCTTTCCTTTGATCCTTAAAGCTTATCAACTTTATTCGTGAAGATTTTTATATTCACACCGTTTTCACGTGTGAATCTATTGGTTTTGTTCAGATTGAAAAAACAGTTTTTTGAATTTTGTGAGGATATGAAGCAAGATAGCTTAAAATGTTCAGAGATGAAAAGTTTGTGCCTTAAATTTCAAATCTTTTGCAAAAAAAAAACAGATTTCAAATTGGTTGCGGCATTGCTAAGAAAATCGCAAAATATGCTTTCTGTAAGCAAGCAAACAAGCAAACAAGCAAGTTAATCAGCAAGAAATCTCAAAAACGAGACATTGGAGAAACTTCTAAATTTTTACATTTGATCCGTGCTGCTCTATAGAAGAGCTGTATTGTTTTTAGGCAAGGTAGGAACAGCCGATGCTTCAAAAAAAGCAAAAAACTTTCGTTTCTTACGAATTTTTCAAAATAAAAGTACACTGTGATTTTTTTTTAAATTAAACTTTGGATGAAAAAAATTTTTTTGAGCAAAGAACCAAGTAGGAAATACATTTTAAATTTTGGACTAGGGGCGACCCTAGTCAAAATCAATTTTGTCACTTTTTTCTTCGAGGGTTTATCCAAATGGATTGAAACTTTGCATAAATTTTCTAGTGCTTAAAACAAAAACAAAAAAAACATCCTAAAATTTTTTTGAGCAAAGAACCAAGTAGGAAATACATTTTCAATTTTGGACTAGGGG